AATCAAAAGTTGGAATTAAGATTGCCGGGAGAAATATCAACAACCTAAGATATGCAGATGATACCACTCTAATGGCAGAAAGTGAAGAGGAACTAAAGAGCCTCTTGATGCGGGTGAAGAAGGAGAGTGCAAAAGTTGGCTTGAAACTCAACATTAAGAAAACCAAAATCATGGCATCCGGCCCTCTCAATTCCTGGCAAATAGATGGGGAAGAAATGGAGGTAGTGACAGATTTTATTTTTCTGGGCTCCAAGATCACCTCAGATGGGGACTGCAGCCAAGAAATTAAAAGACGCTTGCTCCTGGGGAGGAAAGCTATGGCAAATCTAGACAGCATTCTAAAAAGCAGAGACATCACCCTGCCAACAAAAGTGCGTATAGTCCAGGCCATGGTTTTCCCAGTTGCAATGTATGGCTGTGAAAGTTGGACCATAAGAAAGGCTGAGCGCAAAAGAATTGAGGCCTTTGAACTATGGTGCTGGAGAAGACTCCTGCGAGTCCCTTGGACTGCAAGGCGTTCAAACCGGTCAGTCCTAGAAGAGATCAACCCCGACTGCTCCTTAGAAGGCCAGATCCTGAAGTTGAAACTCAAGTACTTTGGCCACCTAATGAGAAGGAAGGATTCACTGGAGAAGAGCCTAATGCTGGGAAAGATTGAGGGCAATAGAAGAAGGGGACGACAGAGAATGAGATGGCTGGATGGAGTCACTGAAGCAGTAGGTGTGAATTTAAATGGACTCCAGAAGATGGTAGAGGACAGGAAGACCTGGAGGAACGTTGTCCATTGGGTCGCGATGGGTCGGACACGACTTCGCAATTAACAACAACAACAAAAAGTATGGCATGGCTGTAAATAATTATTCAATGTGTTTGTGTGATTGCAACCACCTTGCACCAACCATCATAGGCGATATTCAGATTCCTGGTGTAATAAAGGGTACAGGTTGTTTCTAGTTTGGATAGTTCTATAGAGTGAGTCTATATGACAGTTAATAAATAAAAGTAGTACCAATGAAGAAATCTAAACCAAAGAAAGCCTGGGAGATGGTTCAAAATGAAGGTTGGAAATGGAATTAAGAAACTATAGTCCTTGTTTATTTATTCAGTATAAACATTATTGAATAGTATAATGGTCTCAGAATAAGAGAATTGGAAGGGAGATCTTGGAGGTTTTCTAATCTAACCCCTGCTCAAGCAGGAAACCCTATACTGTTTCAGACAAATGATTGTCCAGTCACTTTGATTCCTTATCACCATGTTGATTGCAGAGGCATGCCATTCCCCCCTTCTGAAGCAGAATGTATCTTTACTTCACACTCAGATTGAGACTCTCCTGCTCTGCTGTCCATACAGAATACCAAATAATAGAGTTGGGAGAGATCTTGGAGGTCTTTTAGTCAACCCCCTGCTCAAGCAGGAGACCCTAAACCATTCTGAACAAATGGCTGTCCAGTCTCTTCTTGAAAACCTCCAGTGATGGAGCACCCACAACTTCTGAAGGCAAGTCATTCTACTGATTAATTGTTCACACTGTCAGGAAATTTTAGTTCTAGATTGGGTCTCTCCTTGATTAGTTTCCGCCCATTGCTTCTTGACCTTCCAGCATTTGAGAGGTTGCCACAAAGAGAAGGGGGACAACTTATTTTCCAAAGCACCAGAGGGCAGGACAAGAAACAAAGGATAGAAACTAATCAAAGAGAGAAGCAACCTGGAATTAAGGAGAAACTTCCTAACAGTGAGGGCATTAATGAGTGGAACAGCTTGCCTTTAGAAGTTGTAGGTACATCATCATTGGGTGGGTGCTTCATCATTGAAGAAGAGACTGGACAGTCACTTGTCTGAAATGATATAAGGTCTCCTGCTTGAGCAAGGGGTTGGACTAAAAGACCTCCAAGATCCCTTCCAGCTCTATTCTGATTGATTGACTTGCCTTCAGTTGCTTTGGAGAATAGGTTGACCCCCTCGTCTCTGTGGCAGCCCCTTAGATATTGGAACACTGTATTATGTCACCCCTAATGCCATCTCTAGGATGTAATGTACATCAAACGCCTTTCTTTCTGTCTTCCATGAGAAAGCTTGGGGTTGTAGTAGACATACAAAAAGGTCATTGTCAATGTGCAGGACTCAATACATCTTGGAAACCTCTTCCCTGATTCAGGAGGTGCTTTGCCAAGTTTGAGATGCAAGAACCTATTTTGGGTTACCCAATAGTGAGGAAAGATCAGTGAATTCAATTTGCCATCTGAAACCCAGCTGAGAATGTGATCAAAGGCAGTGTGGTTGTTGGGATGGCATTACTATAGCCTTGAAGTTGTAGTAATTCTCTTGAAAGTGCTGTTGTATTGCCAGCATTCTCAACTGTTTATCTATCACAAGATTGATGTAATGAGACCCTGGCTAGTCCCCAAATTCTCAAGAAGTAGTGAGGAAGTACAATACAATAATGGCAGTGTAAGGAATGGAACATCAGGAAATGACATTCTTATGAGACACCTATAAACTACTTATGAGACTTGTGTGTGTGTGTGTGTGTTTGTGCGTGCATCCATCCATAAAGTTACCCATTCTTTACTGCAAAGTATATAAATAAATATTGTTGTCAGCATCAGTTTTTTGAACTTTGTAAGGCAGGTTCCTATCCCTACAAAGCTAAAACAGATACGCTTTTTCTACATATCCCATCCAGAATTATATGCTCTTTATGATAAATGAAAGATGCAAATGCATCAACTCTGTTTTAAACAACTATGACTAATGCTAGGAGCAATTTATTATTACCATCTGGGTTGAAAATTTAAATGATAAACCTGAACATTGTAAATCTTTGTTGGCTTGGTATTTTCTGTCTCTTGAAAAGATTTAGGAGTATCAGGATTTGAGCTGTGACTCATGGTTTAGGGGACTTTTTGGCAAAATTACATAGTTTTCTCAAGATCTATGTAAATTACAATTCCAGGAAATTATCCCTCTGATGATCAAGAGATATGAAACCTTTTGGCTTTCTACTTTCTTGTTTGAGGTTAGATCTATACACAAAGATATTGTTACCCAGAAAATACAAGGGTGCAAAGATTAATATAGATAGAGACTCTCTATATATAGTCAAATGCTTACATGTTTCTGTAACAGCTGGCTATGGGTTTCCAGTGCATATATGTCTTTTTCAAGTAGCAAAGCATGGGTCCACGTCCATGTTTAGATGGAGTACATATTTAATTGTATGTGGATTTGCTTTCTGTGTTAACTACTGGTTGTGTGTATTTTGAAGGCGTAGAAATTGTGTGGACATAATATAAACATTAAAGAAATAAATAAAGGCTGCAAGTCTATTTTATTTCAATAATTAAATTTGGACTTGATTTGAATTTGATCTTTAACATACCATTTAAAATAAAACAATACTGTGTGTTTGTTCATAATTGGACTTGTTAAACTCTAATCATTACCTGAAATTGTAAAAGATAACACATAAACTAAATTCTATTTATCGTAATAGTTTATTGGATTTGCTTGTGTATATAAACCCTAAAGGCAATAATTGGTTTATCTATTGTGAATTGTAATATTGCTGTGATTATAGTTACTATGCAAAGTAGATTTCCTTACCTACTTAAGGTATCAAATAATTCTGCCCTTATATGTCCCAAATATATATTTCCAATAAAGAGTAAGGAAGATGGTTGATTTTACTGAACAAAAAAACCAATACACTGTCTCCCACAGTACAGCTTCACTGAAAAGAACTGCTTCTGAAAATAATTAGAATGGCAAACTAGATGTGAACATTTATATGTGTGAAAGACATACGTTATTTTTTTTAAAAAAAAAACACCTCAGTCCAAGTTACTTGACTATTTGCTGCAGTGATTTGGTGTATTTAAAATTCATAGACAACATAAGTGTAAGATAATTTCATGTGCAGATCCTAAGTATCTAAACAGGAGACAGGAATATTAATTAGAAATCAGTTGTTTAAATTCAAGTGTTCTTATTGCACAAGTACTCATTCAGCCTTACATTTTTCAATGCACAGTATTCTTTGACAAGTACTATTATTAAAAGTTATTTATATTCAGTATTATCATATAATATGATTGCTACCTGACGGTTTTGTGAAATATGCCCTTAATTTCTAGTTGAATTAAATACAGGTAGTCCTCAATTTACAACCACAATTGAGCCCAAAATTTCTATTGCTAAGTGAGAGAATTAAGTGAATTTCCCCCCCATTTTACAACCTTTCTTGGCACAGCTGTTAAGTGAATCACAGCAGTTGGTAAATTAGTAACATGGTTGTTAAATGAATCTGGCTTCCTTATTGATTCTGCTTGTCAAAAGGTGATCACATGACCCCAGGACACTGCAACGGTCATAAATATAAACCAACTGCGAAGCATCTAAATTTTGATCACGGGATCGTGAGGTAGCTGTAATGATCATAAGTGTGAAAAACTATCATAAAGTCACTTTTTTCAGTGCCGATGTCAAATGGTCACTAAATGAACTGTTGTAAGTCGAGGACTACCTGTATGGAAGTGATAATTATGAAGGGGTGGGGAGTGGCTGCCTGTGGTGTAGCATCTCTCTGAAATCTAGGCAGCCCCAACCCTGTTAGCTCTCTAGGAAGCCTTGAAGAGCTGTTTTTTCACTCAGCACTGGGGCTAGCCGCTAGGCTATTAGGTGAGCCCGACATGAATGAATGAGTCTCAGCTTTATTATAATACAGTTTTGCTAGTTTTTGTTTTTAGGTTTTGCATTGTAAGCTGCTCAGAATCACAAGACTGAGATGGGTAGCTATATAAATACAATAAATAAATGCTGTTCTGCATGTGAATATATAATCGTTCTATCAATATCCAGTTATGAGCCAGAATCTCATTATTCAGTGATTGGTTTTCTGAATTCTGCATTAATTGAATTAATTATTGTTGTAGCCAGTATTTTTTTGCTTCATTAAAACTTTGGAAAAATTCATTCCTCTCTTTTTTGTTCCCATGTAGCAAAATGATGCTCCAACACCTGGGCCAGGTGTCTGCTTCAGAAGTCAGTGCTTCTGCAATTATCCCATGCTTATCTCCTCCGGTATCCTTCGGCTTTGAAGATTTCACAAATCTGACCCCATTGGTGAAAGAAGAATTAAGATTTGCCATCCACAATAAGTACCTGTCTCAAAGGATGCCCTCTACTTTGGATACAGTCATGGTTTCTGATAGATCTGGTGAAACATCTCATTTAAAAAGACAGGTATTTTGTTTTTATTTTTAAGCTATGTTCAACTACCACTTTCTAATATGCTTTAAAAAAAACAGAGAATGTTTTCCCTTTGCATTAATATTATCATCATTTTTATAATAATTTAATTCAACATATCAAAGTATAAAATACAAATGAAAATGAAAATAGTTGGAAAATGGGGAAGGAAAAAGGGGAAAAAAGAAAAACATTGACTTTTGGCTCTTTTTAGAGTACTGGAATAAAATATTACAGCCTCAACTTTTTTACTTTTACATATTTAATATGTACTAGCCATTTCTATAACAACAAACTTATCTAATCAGCAAAAATCAAAAATTAATTTTTTTCTATCTCAAGCACAAAATCCAGAAGCAGTTTCTAAGAAGAAACAAAATTGGATGTGTTTTCTCTGATTAGAGCATTTAATTTAGCTATCTCTGCTACTTCCATGAGTTTTTCCATCCTTTCATCCATTATCATCATTACTGATAAATCAGAATGCTTATTATTATAGATAAAGTTATTAGCCACAGTGACTTTCTCTTGAATCAAAATTGATTCCACTTGATGAAAGTAGCATGCTACTGCCTTCTGACAGACAGACAGACAGACAGACAGACAGACAGACAGACAGACAGACAGATAGACAGACAGACAGACAGAGAGGATAGATAGACGGACAGACAGACAGATGGATGATAAGTAGGTAGGTAGATTGGTAGATATTGAACTTTAATTTCCCAGTCTAATATACAGCTTTGGGATTCCCTGATGATTTCCCATACAATCACTAATGAGATCTCAACCTGCTTTGTAGATATCCTATCTATGATGACATCAGAATGATAAAGTAGTAAAGCCACATATTAGAACATAAAGTGCAAAGTTTGTTTCCTAATGAATTTTGACACTTGCTGCCTTCCTGGACACATATGCCTGTTTAGCTTTCAAGATCAGACGAAGTTGGGTAGGTGCTGCCACCTGGTTAATCCTTTTGGCATTTGCATTAATGATCTTCATGAGCTTGAATGGGAATGCCTTAATGAAAGACAAGCAATGTTGAAAATGTGATCTGTATCTGGAAGGCATCAGGGAAATATGAAGCTCCTGTAACTGTTACAGGTTTTATAATTATTCAGTGTAATACACTTCATACATTCCTGGGTCATGTGCTTTTCAGAAAGGACTATATTGCAATGTAATTCATAGAATTGCATATTTTGCACATAGAAATTCTTCATTCCCTGGCATCTTTTTTTAAAAAAGGCAGTGAGAACTTTCTCGTCATGAGACTTCAGTAGAGAGTTGATAATACTTGACTTCCTATGTTCTTTTTCCATAATTCCAATTATAAAAGAAAGCAAGAAGAGAAGGAAAACTCTTTTGATCTATGATATGAAAAGACATTCCATCATGATCAGAGACATCATTTTTAGTATTCCAGGTTGTGCTCTGGCAGAGAATGGTTTTTGAAGATAAGCCTTATTAGGATTTAAACCTGCTTAGTGAAGAAAATTCAGAATGCACCTACCCTCTTTAGTAGATCAGATAAATTGAAATACATTCAACATTATTTGGAAACTGTAGGGAAGCTTCTTCAAGGTTGTGCTTACATATTGGAGGTTTTCTGACTTACCGTACATCAACTCTCTGCATTTCAGTGATCTCCTAAACATGTCGGCCAATTTCTATTCTGTTTCATACAAAGTAAAATGGTCAAACTAACCAGTTAGTCATTTTGTTGACAGAGAACAAATCAGGCTTATTGCTATTATAACATCTATAGGGAACATAAGGAGTTTCTCTCTTGCACCACCCTGTACCCCCTTTTGGGCTGATACCCCATCGAACCCTAATCTCTTTGGATTTTTGGTTCTATTAGTGTGCCCCCGAAGAAGATGAAAGGAAAAAACGCCGGAGAGAAAGAAATAAGATTGCAGCAGCAAAATGTCGAAACAAAAAGAAGGAAAAAACGGAATGCCTGCAGAAAGTAAGTTGACTGACACTTTCTAATTAATATCTGCAAAATAAAAACACATCTATATAAGGTCAAAATATGAATTTTAAAATATGGATAAATGATTCTGAAAATTTTCACTGTGCGTTGCTGATTAATTATAACATTTGTTAACCTGTTAAAGGTGAAATTATTCTGGCTCATCAATCTGGAAGAAAAAAGTAAAATCTTAGACTAAAGCTTTAGAAGTGCTTTAGAAGTCCTTAACTAATTAAGGTTTTTAATCTTAATAATAATGGGACATATTTCACTTAACATTTAAACTTTTTTCAAGACATATTCAAAATGATCAAGCAAACACTCACTGTACTTGTAGTAACAGAAAGTTTTACAGGAAAAAAACTTCCCAAAGACAAGCCATTACCTCAGAGATTTCATGCTTTAAATACCAAGGTTATCTGAAATGAAGGCTACATTTTTTTCTCCCAAGTAACTGATCTTTAAAATGGGAGGCAGATTTCCTTCCTTCCTTCCTTCCTTCCTTCCTTCCTTCCTTCCTTCCTTCCTTCCTTCCTTCCTTCCTTCCTTCCTTCTGCCATGTTGGACTGCATCTCTTATAGTCCCCAGGCACCAGATTGCAGAAAATAAAGGTAGCAAGTGATAATAATAGATCATTTATCTATTCATTAATTTTATAACTTGCTTCTCCTTTAGATTGCTTCCTTTAGTTGTTTTCCTGGCTCACCTTCCATATGGGTTGAGATAAAGTGACTGAATTATAAATGAACAGGAGTTTGGACTAAAAGACCCCCAAAGTCCCTTCCAACCCTATTATTCTATGTTCTGTATAATAATTATTATGACTTCCACTCCACTCTCTAATATTTGAACCATCGTACCACAAGACAGGAATTTGTTTGGTTGAGTTGGAGCTGCAACTTCAAGAAACAGAAGGTTCTTGAAGGAAATTTAGAATTGGAAGAATAAAAAGATATGTTGTGGAAAATGGTAAGAAGATAAGAAGATAATAGCTTGTAAAAGAGACATGGAAAGAAATGAGAAAGCATTTAAACTATATGAAAAATGTACTGGATGAACATGGGGAAGTGAATAATTTTAGCTGCAGAATTCTTCATAGAGATCAAAAGATTAAAACTGATATATAAAGGCAAAGGGATATAAAGAGGAAACCATCATAATCATCTATGTAATCTTGACAGAAAATGGGTTTCCATAGTATTATTTCTCAGTACATATAGTCATGAGTCCTAAGCTACATATATTTTTATTTTTCACTTGTATTTTTAAAACTTCCATTTCTATGTTTATACATTTCTTTTGTTGCCAGGAATCAGAAAAACTGGAAACAATCAATGCAGAACTGAAAGCTCAGATTGAAGAGTTGAAAAATGAGAAGCAGCACTTGGTCTACATGCTAAACCTACATAGACCCACCTGTATTGTCCGGGCCCAGAATGGCAGGACCCCAGAGGACGAAAGGAACCTTTTCATTCAGCAGATCAAAGAGGGGACCTTACAAGGCTAGACAATAATGAGGCAGTGCTCATTATTATTCTTTAGCCATGCTTCTTATCATGAAAAACAAAATAACAACTTGCCATCCCAAGTCAGAAGCCACAGAGAAGAAATTTCAGCATTTGTGGCCTCCATTTAGCCAATGGAAGATGGATTTGACATGACTTTGCTGAGAAGAAAGGACTATGGTAGCTTAGCTTCAGCTTTCCCTAGCAAAGACTCAGTTGGGTGGAAGAGAGCCATAGCCTTTGCTCCAGGTCTAACCAGCTGCCACACTTGCTATCCTAGAAGAAATATGGCTCTAGACTTGTAAAATTCCTTCTGGTATGCACTTGCAATGTTTCTGGTAGGGCAGAAGGGTTCTCTATGAGTACATCTGATGAACTACCAAGCTAAAAGGATTCCACTCACTAGATAAGGAATGTAGGTGGACTGGGTTATGTTTTGTTTGTTTTCAAAGAAAAAGAGGTTAGCAACTTCGAGATGCAACATTTAACTTGGGCACTGCACTTTGTTAAAAACATGTTTTCATAAAAGCCCTTCTGTGGGTTTTTGATGACTCAAGTTAGAGGTGATTGTGGGAAAATGTGACAAGCTTCAGTGTTTTGCAGAATTGTTCACTGAATTAAGACTCAATATATCAAACTGGAGCAAACCACTCTTGGCTTACTTTAGGAAGGGGGAATGCCTCTTTCAAAACTCAATTAATGAGTCACATTTAGTATTCAAAAGAATGTTATACAACCATGGTATAATCACTAGAGATGTAAAATTGTATGTCTTCCTGACTTGTGGTTCATCTTGTCCTTGATCCTCATCTTACAAATGTTTCCTTGGCACAATCTTTTTCAGAACCAGAGAATGTAATTGCTGGCAATTTACAAATATTAATTTATATGTAGACATTCATTAAGTGAAAAATTGTCCACCGATGAAGACTATCTGTGGGACTAGAGATGAAATAGAGATTATCATTAGGAATAGAGATGAAAAAGTATGGTAAAAGTTGGCTTTGTGGTTTGGATTTGCTTTGATGGAATGCTTCACATCACACAAGCAATGCTATTCTTTTCATGAGGCAACTTTTTTATTTGCATGTTTTAGTCTTTGAGATCTATTTTCTTTAAGGACAGAATTGAAACAGTAGACTAAATAGCTTGCAAAAAGAATACTTTGTCCAAGCATTACTTCTGTTAAACTTGTACAGTACAGTCATGTACAGTCCTCAAACAGCAGCATCAAAATGTAGATTCGTAGACTGGACTAGTTTACTTCTCTATTTCACACCAATTTTTATATTCTGCAACAGAAGTATTTAATATGCTTTCGATGATCTGGATATATTGTTATGTCTATTACATTGCTGTGTTCCAAATGGGCCAAACTCTTATCTCTTTAGAGAAATATTTTTTCTTCCAGCATCCAAAAGGTATTACTTTTTCTGAAGTTTTTGACAATACATCCCAGTGGCCTTTGTATATCAATTCATTGACTATACTTTATATGGAGGGTTATTATATAACTGCTAACTTGTAGCAGTCAAATAAATTGGGTTTATTTAACGATGATTTTGTGCACCTGTGTAGTTATATATGATTATACCGCATATAACCTTCTGTAACTATTGCTTCTCTGAAAGTATTCACTCAAGATAAATGCTGTGCACTGGATCAAAAAATGAAAAGTGGAAGGAAATATGTAGCCTATACTTCAAATAGCACAGAAGAATATCCCAATAGGTTCTGTCATTAGAGTAACATTTCCTTGCTTTAGTGAAAGTTGAGAAACATGGCTAGAGCAGAGAGAGAGAGTCACCCCCCCCCCTAAAAAAAAAGGAAAGACCTGGGAATTATCCATGCCCAATTAATTCTCAAGCAGCAGACCAAGCTACTGCATGAAGGAATTAGTTGAAATCCTCTCCATTCCAGTGAGATGCACTGTATTATTACTTATATGCTAAAAAAGGTTTCCAAATGTGTATTTCTGCATATACATTTGCATATATGCTAGCCAATCTTATAAGCTCCTTTGCTCTTTTTCTTGTTTGTTTGAACAAGGGGGGAGTTGATATATTTGTTTTGATGAATCTTGTGGTCATCCTATCTATTCCAGTTTTCACAATTACATTTCTTCTACTTTGGAAGAACATCTCAGGATTTGATTTCATTTTGTTTAATTAATGATCTAGAATCTCATAGACATATGTAGTAGAATTTTTGTAAGTAGAAGATAGCTTCCACTTATACAAAGACTCCCTGATTTCAAGGTCCCTCTTGGGTAATAAAAATTACCTTCAGTGCTAGCACAATATAATACTCCCAAAAGCATTTACAGACCCCCTGTCCATACATTTCAACTCTTTCCAAAAAACCACCCAAAAACAATAAAAAGGTAATTTCTGATGCTGTTTATATATGATATTATATAGAGAGAATTAAGATTTCTCCCTTAAATATTTTTCTATGCGTGTTTGATATCCTATTTAAAATGACGCAGGCGTCATACTGTTGCTGCTGCTTCTATTGCTTCAAGTTACACATATGTTGTTAACTAGCATGCCGAATGTTTACTAAGGTGCTGCTAACTTTGTCAAAGATATTACTATTTTAGCCGTGGCTGCTTCTGCACGTTAGTTCATTTGAGTTTGGAGAGAGAGCATGTGTCTCAAGATGGTACAACAGTATATTTTTTTCATCACTTGAGAGAATAGTGGACAGAAAGACTGGATGTAAAATAATCTCTAATCCTATTCTATTTTCAGGACTGTACTCTGATAGCTCTGTGACAGAGAAAATCCACCTGATGTAACTTTGCCTGTTTGTAATGACTGTAGATATGATCATGGTGGAATTTTCCCTCATTATCTAAAGCATATACAAACTCCTACAAGATCAGATACTGGTCTTCAGGGTGGTTAGGAGATATTTGAATGGGAGAAGTGCATGAATGTATGATCTATTTTTATTTGAACAATTAATAATACAATAAAGATGCTTTGTTTTTTATTAAGTTTATGTTTTGATACTTTAATAATAAAGACTAATGTGTGTTTTCTTCTATGTGACTTAATTTGTCTTATTTGAAAGACCAATATTCATGTAGAACATCTAGATAGTTCTCTTTTCAGTGTGTCCTATTCACTTCATGACCCCTAGCTAGTGCCCATATTAAGCCAACATCATACTTCACTTCCCACTCTCTGCTATTGTCATCATTGTTTACCTGGATTTCCGTTGCCTTCACTCATCATGATATTATAAGGTATGCTCTGCACCTGGAATAAACTGTCCAATTAGTCATCGGTCCAATTAGCCTGAGTATTCTTTAAAGATTTTGTATATACAAGTTCTGTAACTGACACAGTACTAATGGTCATGGTTCTTCCACTATGTGATGAATAGGATCTCCATGATTGGTATTAAGTTGATTTCCTTAGAAGTATCATCTTTGATCTAGTGTTATCCAAATGTACTAGGAGTATAATGCCCAGACTAGTCAGCTCATAAGATTTGTAGAATTGAATAATTCAATAGAATTGAATTAATAGAAGTTCAAAATATGTGATAAACCTCAGTTTAGGAAAGATTTCTACATCGTTACATTTTTGGCATTGAACTGGTATCAGCCCAAATATCAGGCTCCTTGGGTTTAAATAATTGCTAGGGAGTCACATGATTTCTCATACATACCAAGCTATGAACAAATATCTCGTCTATCTATGCTCAAACAATTAATGAGAATAAAGGCAATCCTTTGAGAATCTAATTCAGATCATGAATTAATTAGCAGTCACACTGAGATACTATGTAGGTACTTAGGTGATGGATAGTGTTGATATAGAGATAGATGATAGATAGATAGATAGATAGATAGATAGATAGATAGATAGATAGATAGATAGATATGGGAGAGAGAGAGAGAGAGAGAGTGAGAGAGAGAGAGAGAGAGATTGCTTCCTTCTCAAACTGACCTTCATATTTTCAATGATGGGGATTTAAATAATTTTTCTTGCTTTTTCTCATTAAATTTGAAAGCTCAAATGTAACGTAATACAGTAGTACTCTATTTCCAATTAAAAAATCAAATGTATATGACTTACTCCATTTAAGAACATATTCTCACTTCCACAACTCCAGTTCTGCTTTTTCAGTGATTTCTCACCATCTTATCTGAAAGTGAATTTGGGGCACTTAAAAATTTGCAGATATATTGCAAACCTTCTATTGACTTAATTGCCTCTTTGAATTTTAGATTCCTTTCTTCATTTCTACTGCATTTTACTCCTTTTGAAGTAATCTATTGGATAACACAAGACAATGGTAAGAGGTCCAGATCCAAAACTGATTGCATCCATATTATTTTCTTTTTCTGTCACTTTCTCTCTTGCTTTATCATCCTTCCTTTCTCTGAGCTATCTTCTAGTCTAGTTGATTTGGATTTTCCCTTTTTTCTTTTTCAATTGCAGGCAAGTCCAGAAGTAGTCTAAGTAGTTTCTCTCCTATGTATTGCTCTTGGCTGTTCCTGAAGACAACTTCAAAGACTCCAGTCTGAGTTGCAAAGACAAAAAATGTCACGATAAATCACATGACGCAATTTTGATACCCGTGATTTAGGGCAGGAGTGTCAAACTCACAATGTCACGTGACGTGTTGTGACATATCGTGACTTTTTTGCCAATGCCGGCAATCGGGGTGGGCGTGGTTTTGCTATGATGCATCCAGCCCGCGGGCTGGCAGTTTGACACCCCTGATTTAGGGGGGGAAAAGGAAAGAGCATCTTTGTATTAGTAAGGGAAAGGGATGGGAAAGCAAGGGAGCATGCTTTTTGCAGTGTAGACAGAAACTGAAAGGATGTCTGGTGCAAGATCTAAGGAGCTTCTCTTGGGGATGGGGGAGCCACAAAAACAAGGAGTTAATTGACTTGGTTTTTAAATCAACTACACAATAAGAAATGATAGTTGCTGACCAAGGAGAACATAGGACTGCATTATCCTAGGATGAAAATAATTCCACAGGGCAGTGATGAGGAAGGAATTATGTAGAGCCACTCTCATCAGTTGAATCAGAGATGATACTAGTTTAGAAGGAAATATTCCAGATCATTCACTCAGAAGGATTAAGATGTCAGGAGACCAAAACCAGCAATCATGAAACAGAGCTTCAAAACTTGGGTGATATAAATGGCAGAGGAAATGACCTTGAGGGACAGGAGAAAGAGCTGCTACCCAAGGCAGTAGTCAGATAAAAGAGGTAAGAGACCAAAGCAAGAATATAGCATGCAGATACATCTCAGACAGTCCCTCCCTAGTTCTCATGAAGATAAAAGGAAGAAGTGGGAGAAGCACATTCAGACTGGCAAGATTCTGTTGCTACCATATAGCTTTATAATAAAGTAGTATTGATCTTCATGACATTGGTTTCCTAGTCTGATCTATCTTGAGGGGGACAGGTGGGGGTGCATTTGAAATGGACTGGGAGAGGGTACAAGATGATATCATACTGGTATGTTCCTGCTCTCAAGAAATGATGGGTGGATCATACTGGCAATAGGGCAAGCAGAAAATGTAGATCTTCCCTTTCTTTCACTTTCTCTAGTCTCCACACATCTACTGAACTTTCAGTAGATCCAAATATATCTTCTGCCAATTACAGCAGGTATGTTGCAAAATAGAGCAGGAGTCTAATTCATAGGAGTATGTCTAGGTACAAAAATTAATCCTCTCTTGAAAGACATTTCTGCCTCTAGAAGGCTCAGTTTGGGTTACTAAATCACTCAATAGTGTTAACAAAGCTACCCATAGCAACTTCCTATATAAGATAAATTATTCTCAGTTTATTTGGCGGGTGGCAGCAGTGAGACAATTTTATTTCTCTGACTCATGGTATTAAAAATCCAGATTTATAAATAGTATGAGCTGCTCCCCAGTATGTGATTTGATGGATGTCAGTATAACTGAAAGTTCAATATCCATAAATTAAGATAAAATAGTGCTATATTTTTGTTTGTAATTCCCCAAAGACAAGTCGTTCTTTGTAATCCAAGAAGAATTATTGTCTGAGACATTAAACTGCAAATCATGAAGGTTTTAATAGGTAGAGCTGTTAAACCTGCATGACGTATTCACTCAAGAAGTTTAAACATTCAAAGGGAAATAAAAGCCCCTAGTGATGGATGCCAATTGTTTTCAGAATAATGAAAAACAAGATGGCTTCATGGTGATTTCTAGATTTGGTAAAATCTTTGCAAACCACCCCCAAAGCTATATAGCAGTGGTGGCGAACCTATGGCACGGGTGCCAGAGGTGGCACTCAGAGCCCTCTCTGTGGGCATGCGTGCCGTCGCCCTAGTCCTAGGCCTTCAGCTGGGTTTTATAAAACCTTTTCGCTTTAGACCTCCGCCGCCATGTACAAAAAAAAAGGTTCAATCAATCAGTCAATTTCAACTTCTCGCAGGAAAAAAAAAAGATCTTGCAAAGTTGGAATTGATTGATTGAACTTTTTAGTCCCACCCAGTTTGCCGTTACCATCGCAGCCACACCCACCCAATGGGCCACACCCACACCCGACGATGCATAAGTGGGTTTTGGGTTGCAGTTTGGGCACTCGGTCTCTAAAAGGTTCGCCATCACTGCTATATAGTATTTTAAACCTCTTCTCTGAAATCAGAATGAGAACTAAAAATGTAAAAGGGGAGGGCAGATTTTGCTGCCATGCCCTTTGCTGAGGCAGAAAGTCTCTCAGGTCCCGTTTATGGCTTCTGGTCCAAGGAGCTTAAATTTTAAGAGCATCTAAATCTCTACAGAGGTTTTCCTCCAGGTTTGGAAAGGCAGGTGTCTGGGGCATCTCTAGGAAGAAATGTACATGACATGTAAAAAGGATGGCTTTAATTGTGTATTTACAACTATCATCTTAACTTCTTTCTCCTGTAACTTCTCCTCCTCTGTGGATGCTCTTGACTAGTTGGTGTTGTAGATAGCATGCTTACTTTTTCACTGTTAAAAAGATGGATAAATGTCAAAGCTTTTATTATCAATCACACCTCATTGCAAGCTCCAGTGGAGTTATAAATGTGGCGTTGGAAGGAGTAAATTGGTGGTGCTGGAAATTGGTATCCACTCAGTCTTGAGCGTTGCTTTCTGATCATACTAGCCTATTGGTTTCTGCTATATATGCCAAGCTTTATTTTTATGCTTAAGGTCCATTTTGTATACTTTCTTATTGGAAGAAGAAAGACCATTTTTAATTATTATTCTGATTGTCATCTTTAATAAAATCAGGGCTGTTTTTAGTTTTCATAAAGAATTGGGCACATAAAGTAGGAACCTTAGAAATGTTGATTGGGCAGCTTCTATGGGGCCAGATAGTGATAGTTACAGAACTGTGTGTCATAGAGTAGGTAGCTCACTAATTAGAATAGAATATAATATATTTATTGTCATTGTGTATCTCACAACGAAATTAAGTGCTGTCCACACACAAGTAAAAACCACAAGTAAAAACATACATTATGCACACACATCCTTCACATTCTATTCACCATTACGCTGCCCATTACTTAGCTCTGAAGATTTCTGTCAAAGCCATGACATGATTATGGTTGTGAATAGAGAATCAAAGGATGTCCTTGTCACGAAATCTTGTAAAAATACAGTTCTTAACTGATGTCACGGCTTGAACTGGAGTTCTAATGTTGATAATTTCCAGGAGTGAGAGATCTCCAATTGCTTGAGGTATAATTTCCATCATTTTTTTAAAAAATTTTTTAGTTGTGCATCATGTTATTAGTGACTGGATAAATGGTGAATCTTGCACCAGTGGATTTATTAAACACACACACATCATACACTAGAGAAATAGTTAACTCCTAGAAAGAAAAATTTTAACTTAAAAAACCTGTCGGGTTTCAGATCTATAATATTCTAAATAAGCAGATATTATAACCACAATTTTCTTAAAGGTTGTTATGGAAGACATAGGGACCAACAGAGACAAGAAACAAATGTTTACTTAAAAGTTGTTGTTGTACCTGCATAGACAGCTATGTGTATTTTAATGCTCTC